CCCCCCCCCCCCCCCAAAAAAAAAGGAAGAAAAAAGAAAAAGAAGCCAGAACCATAATATTTTCTTTTGTATCTACCAGTTTAAAAATAGATAATATAACAAATTAGAGCTTTTTGTTTCTTATTTGTTACAAGCTTCTAGTTATAATCTTTTTGTTTGCTTGCTTGATTTTTTTTCAAGACAAGGTTTTTCTGGGTAGCCCTGGCTGTCCTGGAACTTACTCTGTAGACCAATCTGGCCTCAAACTCAGAGGTCTGCCTGCCTCTGCCTCTGCCTCTGCCTCCCAAGATCTGGGATTAAAGATGTTTAATCCTACTACTACTACGGGCTTACAATCTTAACTACATGTGTTTTAGAATTTTGCTAATTGCAGTTCAACAAATAATTCCTATAAGACAAATGTCTTAGTTCGTTTGGGCTGTTGCAGCAAAATACCTAAGGTTGGATAATTTATAAGCTATAGGAAGTCCTGGAGGTTAGAGGTCTAAGATAAAGGTTCCAGTAGATGTGGTGGCCTATTCCTCATCCTTAGCACCTTCTTGTTGGTGTCCTCACATAGAGGTGAACACGCCTGCTCAGCAGGGCCTTCCTAGAGACTCCACATGTTAACACAGTTAGCAGTCAGCATCTAAATTCTTGAGGGACACAAATGTCCATGCCACAGCAATGACTGTACACCTCTCCTGTGAGTGAGTCATCTTCTGCAGTGTGTTACTTTCACAAGGGAAATCAGTGAACGAGAATTCTTAACCTTTTTGTGGAATGGTGTCAGACAAACGTGGTTGCAAACCTCACACATAGTTTTGTCTTAATTCTTACTAACGATAATCCTAAATGTACCTTTCAGTCTGAAGACCTGATTACATGTCGATTGATGGTGCCAAACTTTTCAAGCCAGATGACCTATCTCTATATGGAGAATGCCATTTTCGTGTGCTCCACGGGAACTGGGAAGTTTTCTCTTCCTCAGGAGAAGATTGTCTTTGATACACAAGGTACATGGGTGGCTGCTTTAGATGAAAAGATGGTTCTTTCTCCATTGAATTGTATTTTCACCTTCGTAAAAATTTAATCATATGCATGTGGTATCTTTGTGGAGTCTCTCGTTCTCCCTGTATGTGTCTGTCCATCCCCAATATTACAGTCTTCAGTAAGTAATTCTTAAACTCACGCACTTCGGCCAGCTCGTTAGCCGTTCTTGGCCGTTTCTCTTCTTTTACTGCATGTTTTGCCTCTGGTTTGCTACCTGCCGGGTAGAAATATTAGTACTGTTTGCAGCAGCTGTATTCACAGCTGTGCTGAATACCCAAGAGTGGGTAGAACTTACACAAGCTGTTATCTTTACAGGCAAAATTAGTACAAAAATTTTTTTTTTCCTCAGAAGAGACAAGAAAGTAAGAATTAACACAAAGACGTACATGCTCGTATTGGTTTGTGAGAATGGCTCACTCTGAATTAACACTCCATAATCTAATTTGTCCAGACCCCTGGCAGGAGGAATCCTGGGGAGCTGGCCTAAAACGCAGACCAGACAAGTAGATACTGACCAGGTATAGCCCTACTATGACTGTACGGAGGACAGGGCCTGGGCAAGGCCACAGAGGGAGCCCGGGTGGTGGTCCACACAGGGGGACAGTATTGTGGGCTGTTCCTAAGGCACAGAGCAGGCTGGCTACTGCCTGGATTGGCCCAATAGAAAAAGACCATCAGGCAAGGAAGCCAGAGGATACCATAGGGCAGAGATGCTGCCATGCTGAGTTTTACAGAATGAAGAATTTGGAGGGACTGAGGAGGGCTTTGCTCACTCCTCTCTTGCAGGAACAAGTTTTGTCGTTTTTGTTTTTTGGATGGTTTTGTTTGTTGTTTGGTTTTGGTTTTTTTTAGATTTTTTTTTATGAGGGACAGGGACGCCAGTGGAGACCAGAAGAGGGTGTAGTCTCCTGGAGCTAGAGACACAGGAAGCTGTGAGCCTCTCGGTGAGGTCACTAAGACTTGCAGAAGCAGCGAGTGCTTCAGTTGTGGAGTCATCTCCGCAGCCCAGCTGTTCCTGTCTTTAACGTGCAAAGACGGTCTGCTTCATTGAGTAGCAACAGGGTCTTGAGATTTTTTTGGAATTTAAAAGCTGAGGCCAAAGTAGAGCATAGACTCCGGGGGCTGAGGCGGGTGATGGCATAAGCTTCCCAACCTGAACCAGTCTAGTCAAAGAAAGTAAAATAAATTGCATTATATTAAATACATTTATGCTGTAACGGTTTTATTTTAGGTGTCATAAAAGAGGAGGGACACAGGTCATCGGGATAGTTGGGGTAGGAGATGTGAGGAATTGTTCTGTGCATCTTTGTGTATTTTTTTTCTCAGGAGATGGCATTTTGGGCGCGGGCTCCTGTGGCGGTGTTCCGATCCTTTTCTCTAGGAACAGTGGTCTGGTGTCTGTCACTCCAAGGGAAAGTGTGTCCCTATTAGCAGAGGACCTGGAAGAGTCTTTGGCCTCTTCAGTTGGTGGACGGGGCAGTGAGGTAAGGTGGTCCACAGACCACTTAGCGTTTGCTTTATCAGCATTTCACACCAGAAGAAAAGGCAGGCAACGTAGAAAGGCTGGGATGAAGTCAGTTCTTGTTCTCTTGCTCCCATATCTAGGTCCTCTTTCTCAGGACCTCGTAGGCCTCAGTCATTTCTTCTGCTTTGTCCTCGGCATTTCTGAATGTGTGTGTCGCTGTTTCCAAGTCACCAGTTTGAAAACAAGGTCTTGGAACAGCGTCCGCTTCCTCCTCTCCTTTACCTTCCCTGGGTGTGCGCTGGCAGGATGGGTGTTGGAATGGTTCGCTGAGAAGCACAGTGACAGTCCACCCACTGTCCAGCCCCTTTGGGAAGGTGCTTATTGGTGTAGTTTTTCCTGTGGTCCCCTTGGGAAGTGACGAGGCTAATCCTGCAGTTTGTCTCACTGTCCAGACCCTGAGGACCTGTCCCCACCTGTGCTAGGCAGACCTGTATGCCACCTTACCTGGGCTCTGGGGGTCAAACCCAGGTCGCCAAACCTGCGCAGCAAGTGTCTTTATTCACTGAGCCATCTCAGTGACTGCAGCAGATGAAGTCTGAGAGGCTTAATGAGATTAAACATAAATAAATAAAAAATCAACTTTCACCAGGTGTGAAAGTTTAGTTCTAGCACTTGGGAGGCAGAGTTTGTGGCCAGCCTGGTCTACAAAGTGAGTTCCAGGATGGCCAGGGCTGTATGCAGAGAAATCCTGTCTCAAAAAACAAACAAACAAAAACCAACTTTCTATTATCTTGAAACCTGAGGTAACTTTATCTGTAAGTTTGGGGTTTTTAAACAGAAAAAAATATTTCAGTCACAGAAGGCTAAAAAGAATATTGTTTAGGGATTTTTTTTTTCATTTAAATAGTATATGAAATATATAGATAATTTTTTTCAGACAAACTGGTTTTTTTGTTTTTTGTTTTTTTGAGACAGGGTTTCTCTGTGTAGCTTTGGAGCCTGTCCTGGATCTTGCTCTGTAACCAGGCTGGCCTCGAACTCACAGAGATCCACCTAGCTCTGCCTCCCAAGTGCTGGGATTAAAGGCGTGCGCCACTACCGCCCGAAGAAACATTATTTTGTTGCTAACACAACCAGTTGTGTTTATCTTCCAACAAACTCCAAAGCTGGTAACAAAAATGTTTTCAAAGAATATTTTCATATTTGCTAAAATATAAATGTCTTCTTCCACTGAAATGCATGACAAGTGCACATATTTGAGTTGGTTTACCATAAGACACTGGCTTGTCTGATGTCTGTAATCGTCATACATAGACTTTTTTCTTTTGAGACAGAGTTTTGCTGTGTAGCTCAGGCTGGTCTTGAATTCATGATCCTCTTGCCTCAGTCTCCCAAGCACTGGAATAACAGACATGTGCTGCCATGTGTAGACTTTGTGTAGACATTTTCATAATTAAAAATTGAAGTGAAAGAAGCCGGTTGGAATCCCAGCTCTTGAGAGGCAGAGGCAGGTGGATCTCTGTGAGTTAGAGGTCACTCTGATCTACATAAAGAGTTCCAGACCAGCCAAGGCTACCTAGTGAGACCCTGTCTCAAAGAAAGGGAGAGACGGGTGCTGGAGAGAAGGCTAAACAATCAAGAGCATTTGTTGCTCTTGAGGACCTGGGTTCAATTCCCAGCCCCCACATAGTGGCTCACAACCATCTGTTACTCCAGTTCCAGGAGATCCTGTGTCCTCTTCTGGCCTGTGGGTACATCAGGTAAAACACACATGTGTACACACGTGTACACATATGCGTGCAGTCAAACACTCACACATAAAATAAAAGCAAAAAATTTAAACAAAAAAACTTGCTTTGGCAGTTTCTGTAGCATGTAACGTATTGGAACTGCTGTTTGTGATCACGTGGTTATAGTAGTACTGCTGCCTGTTCCTGAATTTGTTTTGTACTGTTCCGTTTCTTCTTAGTTTGCTTTAGTCCTGCTTCACTCTGTCATTCCCCATTCGCTCAATGCATATTGTGAAAGTATAGGGACAGTTGAGACAGTTCCACTGGCCGTGATGAAAAGGCCCTGGGTTACCTGCCTTTTCTGTAGGGCTTTGATTGATCATTGGCAAACAGATCTGGGGGTGTGGTGTTCTATCACAGGACCTTCCTTCAACACGTACAAACATTTCTGTGCCTTCACCTGCAAGCAAGAGCTTGGTTTTTGTTTTGTTTTCTAGAGTATGGTTTTTGAGACCACAACAAAAAATGAAACTGTAGCCCATGAAGATAAGACAAAACTACTTAAAGCTGCATTCCTACAGTACTGCAGGTAGAGCACATTTTTGTTGGTTTTTTAAGATAGGGGTGTGTGTGTGTGTGTGTGTGTGTGTGTGTTCGTTCATTGAATCCAGAGAAGGACATCAGATCCCCTAGAGCTGGAGATACAGGCAATTGTGAGGCACCTGGAATGGGTGATGGGAACCAAACCCAGGTCCTCTGCAAGAACAGCAGCTGCTCCTAAACAGCTTCTCTCCGCCCCCACTGTTGTTGTTTTAATGGTTCTGGCTGTGTAACAAGGCTGGTCCTCCTATCTTGCCTCTCTCGTGCTGGGATTATAGGCATGCCCATTATGCTCAACTGGCACAGCACATTTTGTAAATCACAGTTTACCTTTTGTATGGGACACATTTAACTGATGCTTACTGTGCCCTGGTGGGTAGTGACAGCTAGTGTGGTAGTGTGCCATTTCAAGGAACTCTTTCTGAGTGCTAGGGTTTTACCCGGGATTATCTGAATGTGGCATCTGTAAGAGGCCCCACCCCACATAGATTGAGAGCATCAGATCTAAATCCAGCCTCCATGGGAAGCAGTGACCCTTAAAATTGGCAGCCTAAAGACGGCAGATAAAATCTCGCATAAAACATCACAGCAGATGAGTTGCAGATGGAGTTATGTGGGTGTTATGAAAAGGTAGCCCCTACCCATTAGTTGAGATTTAGTCATCACAGCGCCAGTGGTTCTTAAGCCAAGAATCGCTGTGGCCAGACTCCAGTTTCGTGCCCGGGCTCCTCACATTTCTAGGACCTTGGCTGGCTACTTCTTTGCTTCCTGTGGCTTCTGATCTCTGTGTTGACGTTTGAGACAGTTGACCATTTGGGGGCATCTGATGACTTGAAAGCTATTGAGCAGTACCCCTGGCCTCTTCTCACTAGAAGCCAATGGCCCTTCCCCTACTTGTTATAACCACATTGTCTCCAAACATTGTCAAATGCCTCTGAGTCAAACTTAATAAATAAAACTTTCAAGCACTGTCTATTTTTTTAACTTCATATTGTTTGGTTTTTATTTTACTCTACTCAAAAAAATGTAAATACAAATGTTTTGTTCATGAGAGTTAAGGAAACAGCTTCTGTAATTATTGGTCAGGTCTTGTACAAGTATTCCTACAACCTGTTGTAAGACTGATTCCAGCTTCAGCCTGGCTGTTCAAACTGCAAGATCATTTCAGCCATTTTTGTCTTGACCATGTATCTTTACCTTTAGCAGATGAGTCATCTGTCCAAAGAGCCTCTGGAACTTAACTGCACACCATCCTGTCCACTCCACTCTCTCACTGGCTATCTGGGCTTGTTTGGGGGATGCAGGATTTCTAATACTAGAGTATGCTTGGGATACAACACCCTTAGAACCATGAGGTCTAGGTATTATGGACATGAATCTACAGCAGGGGTGTCATGGGCACAGACAGGTTCACGTTTCAGTTTATGATCAGCATGTTTGATGCCTATTGCATACTTTCCTTCATCAGCAGAGTTGTTTCTCATTTAAATAGACACTTGGGAAAATCATGGCCAAGCCTTGCTGAGTCTGCCTCTTCCCAGAGCTGTGAGGCTTTGGGCAAGATAGTTCCTGATTCTGGCACTGTTTCTTCCCTTGTGTGTGGTTGAGAAGAGCGAAGGATCAATAGTTTGCCTAGCACATCTTGGTTTTGAAGAAATGATTTTTTAGCATTTGCTGCCTCTACTGCCAAGTTCTTAGGTCCTGACCTGACATTCCATTCAGTGGTACAGGGTGGCTGCTCATTCACTGAAGTACAGTATTCGATTCTAAGCTTGTCAGTCTAAGACTGCCTTGCTAATGATCTGCTGCATTCCCTGTCCTGTCCAGATGGGGGCACCACTAAACCGGAATGCCTTACGACCTTGTTTATTGTATGATTGGTTCAATCTGACTAGAAAGATTGGCACTTCTCTTCAGTGACAATTCTGTTAAGTGTACATGATAATAGACCCAGCAACTGTAGTCTTTATTTTGATTTCTTGTGGCTACCAAAACAAGTTACCACCAACTCTGGCTTTGGGACTCATATCCACCATTACAGGGTGAGGAGGGCTGTGCATCCTCTGGAGGCTCTAGGGAACACTTTCATGCCTCTCCTTCCTGTTCGCACTGACAGCCATGGGCTTGTTGGTGTTGTTACCTTTTCTGCATCTCCACTGCCGCACAGCCTCTTCCCAGGGTTTGTACAGTCCTTAACCACAGTCTCTGGGCTGTGGGTTTCATCTGTTTCGTTCCTTCTCAATGTAGGGCTACGTTTACCTTCCTGCTGGCCTTGTTGGTGTCTAGTTATTTTCTCGTGTCTGCCCAGTTTAGAAGAGTCCTCTGTTTAGGGCTCACTGTCCCTCAGGCTGTTGCTCTGGAACTTTTCCCCCAGACTCCCTTTCCTAGAAGACCTGTTTTTCATGTCCAATATGGCTTCCTTGCTGACCGGCAGAGCATGCTCTGAGTGGCTGATACCCACATCATTCTCCTTGGCCTCTTCCTGCAGAGAGTTTCCTGTGCCCTCTGATGGCTTTGGTGTCCTTCCTTGTGCTTGGTGCTGTGTTAGTTACTTTTCTCATTGCTGTGACCAAATATCTGACGAGAAACAGCTTTTGCATCCCAGGGGAGGCATGGCGGCAGGACAGTAGCTGGTCACATTGCATCTGCAGTCAGGAAGCAGTACAGTGAATGGGCTTACACACTTCCATTCCGATTCCGCCGTTTATTCAGCCTGGCAGTCGGATGAACCTTTACCTCAAACTAGAACAATCCAGGGATGTGTCTTAAGGTGATTCTAGAGCCTGTCAAGTTAGCAATACGCTCCATCACCGTTGCTGTCCCGAGTCCTTGCCTGTGCGTGCCGCTGCTGTTCTGTGCTCTGACTCCTGGCGCTGTGACTTTTTAAAGCCTAGGGCTGGTTTCAGTCTTAGCCATTGTCGAGTGCCTGGCCCGCCAGAAATAGTCAGAGTATTGCATTGCTGAAGCCATAGCCGCACAGAAACTTTCTTCTGTGTAAGGAGGTAAGTCTTGTTAGCAGTCCTTTGGACTAAAGCTATACATGTGGTTTGTAACCTCACAGTTAGCTTTTCTGTGCTGAGTTTGAGAATGTTGACCTCCGTTGTACCTTTGTGTTCCCATTTTACTGCAGGAAAGATTTGGGCCGTGCTCAGATGATGGCTGATGAGCTGTTTTCCTCTCACTCGGACTTGGATTCGGACGCGGAGTTAGACAAGGCTGTGACTCAGATCAGCATGGACCTGGTGGACGACTACCCGGCCTCCGACCCACGGTGGGCAGAGTCAGTCCCCCAGGGTAAGCCGACTGATTCATTACAATGGAGGAATTAATACAGAGCAGATGGGAATACTTGTTTCTGCGTTCAGTGATCACTCACTCAGCACATTTTGAAAAGGGCCCTGGAACAGATGGCCCTGTTTGTCAGTTAGAGAGAGTAGAGCCTGAGAGGACATTGAAACAAGTCCTTGTGATTTTCAG